GTGGCAAACAGGTTCGCAAGTGCATGAATCGGATCTAAAACGATTCTAGGTTTCTACGTGAGAACATGAAACAGACACATGCTGTTTCTGCCGATTCTATTCTGGTTTCTTCTATATAATAGTGATTTTATTTTTTGGTTAATCCTTTTGAAGTACTCACTCTGTCCCTAAATAAACGTCATTCTCGCTTCCCGACGAGTCAAACTCTTTCAACTTTAACCAAATATATACAAAAAAAAATATTAATATTTCTAGTATATAATTAATATTGTTAGATAGATCGTTAAATCTATTTTCATAATAAACTTGTTTGGAGATAAAAATGTAGTTAACATTTTCTACAAAACTAGTCAAACTTAAAAAAGTTTTACTGGCACGAATACCAAAGCGACAGTTATTTAGGGACGGAGGGAGTACAACACGTTAAAATGGGTTGCAGTTAAGTTGTCTTTACCCACAAAAATGTTAAGAATTTTTTTGAAGCATATTTTTATTTACATAATTTTTTTATTATAAAAATATTTTTTGGAATCAGAATTCGGACTAACAGTCAAATGGTTTCATAAAGTGATTCAGATTATTCACCAGAAACGTTTTTTTAGAGAATCTGGATTCGAAACGTTTCTATGAGAATCTAGATCCCTATCAAATGCACCCTTACTGGACTCTCAACGTGTTTGGCTGGTAGACTGCACAGTGGATTTCGGATGGTTTCGGATGATTTAATAGTGTTATGTGAGAGAGAATAAGTTAAAACAAGCCGTAACATGACCAGCCGAACACCCTGTCTATCATATGATCCGGTACACTTGGCCAAGTGATTGGGTGAATGCTCCAGTGGGGGACTCTTTGTCGTTTCTTCACTATTCAAACTCAGATCTTGATCAAACTTTAACATTGCATCCATAGGACCTTTTATAACGGCAACGTATCAGTTACAAACTAACTAATCTGTGCAAACTTGGAAACTACTAATCAGGACCACTAGATGCTGATCCAATGAATGGGGTGACAGGTGGGATTTTTTTACGCTTAAGCCCCCCACCCGCCGTCCTTTTTTTTTGCGCTTAAGCCCCCTCACCCCATCCATTGGATCAGCATCCAGTGGTCCTGATTGGTAGTTTCTAAGTTTGGACAGGTTGGTTGATTTACACATGATATGTTGCCTTTTATAACATGTCTAACGTTCTTTAGCGCTCATGATAGTCCTAAGTTTGTGTTATCATCTCGGTCACCAAAACTAAAAGATATGATCATAGGCACATGATCCTTAGAAAAGCTCGCATTTAAGTATTTCGGGTCTTACCGGATCCTGTCTAAAGTATATCTATTATGAGATGCACCATTTTTCTGTTTGTTAGATGGATGAAAGTGGATGGGACGAGAATAGTTGACTAATTATATCTATTATTTAAAAATAATAACAACTAATTAGACACTAACAAATAGGGATGAAAAAGGATCGGATCGGTGCGGATAATGCTTTTTCCATATCATAATCCGCTTTTCTTTGTCGGATTCGGTGCGGAGTGGATAATACACGGATATGGACGAGAATGCGGATTTTTTCGGATGTCGGAAGTGGTCTGGATATGAAACGGAATCGGATCGGAGATGGATTTAAATAGCCAAGTAATATGTGCACACGTAGAGAATTATAAGCTTGTCAAGAATTGATTTAGTAAAGAACCAAGAACAAGCAATAGATAATAAGCTTGCATTGCATTCCATATTGCGGCTATCACACTGATAATTAACACTTAACATGATTTTTTCACTAAAAATGATAAGTTATTAGCCAAGAAATAATAACACCTAGCAAACTCTTAATTTAAAAATTAGAACATCAAACAACCACATCACAAAATAAGAGTTCTCAATTAACAAACTTTTTAAAATCCCAAATTCTTTAGTACAGGGAGAGAAACTTTCGGATATCCTATTTTAAACATCGGATAATCCGCATTGAAATTGCAGATAATCCATATCCGTCGGATTTTATCTATTCCACATCCTACCCCACATCCGCACAAAAATCGGATTCGGATTATCCGTATACGCATGGATATTAAAAGTTCTTCTCCATATCCTCAAAATTCGGATTCGGATTCGGATCGGATCGAAGAATTATCCACACCACTTTCACCCCTACTAACAAATATGCACTAACTCTAATTTTGTCATGATAATCACTAATTTAAAATAAATATATTAATTAGCACTACTAATAACCTAATTAGCACACTAAACATGCACTAATCAATGTATTAGCACTTATCAAAACTAGTTCTATCATCATAATTACTAAGTAATAATATAACATACTAATAGTTCTTAATTTATTTACTAATGACAAAGATTAGAAGGAATCGCGAAGACAGGGATAAGCTGGTCCGCGAGATTTTTACGAACCCGAAAATCTAGCATCTTGTGGTAGGGATTTTCTTATCCCAGTGATCCACTTGACCAAACACTACACATCCATAGATAGATATCCGACCAACCAAAAACATCCTAAGGACTTAGTGCGATGCCTTTTGGTATATTGGCACTTAGTGTAGCTAACAAGGCACGTTGATCTTCGATGATCGGAAATTCTGATGTCTGATTGAGATATGAAGTATCGTCCACACAACACAGTATATAAGATAAGATAAAATATAAATACTAACTCTGAAAATACTTTTTATAAACACCGCCAGTATACCAACCCAACTCACCCAAGTCAAAATTTCTAGGTCAAAAAGTTTGACGCAGCTACAATATCAACAGGTAGTAGTAGTATAAAAGAATCCCCGACCAAGAACATCGATCGGGGCTGTCAGAATCAGCAGCTGAAACGGGCCGCCGACCAAAAGAATGAACGAATCATCGTATCACAGAGTCTAGAGGAGCCTCCTCCTCCAAACTCATCCCCACCGTCACCACTGAGTCGTCAGCCGTCGTTCCTCAGTGTCTAGAGGGCTGTCGACCCGTCCAGCCATCTATCTCCTCTTTGAATCTCAAGAGTGGAATTAGCCGCACAAATCAGGTTTTCGCCATCGTCATCTCACATTGCAGCACCGGGCACTCCCGGACTGCAGCTTCCGCCACAGGCAGATCATATGCTGCGGGGACTGGTAGTGTGCCGTGAAGTAGCCATCGTAGCAGCCCGACTGGTAGAACCGCACGTCGTGCCGGATGTCCACCGGCCGCCGCGTCTTGTTGAACTTCTCCACCCACATGCCCATGCTCACATCCTCCATCTTAAACAGCTACGCACCAAAACAAAACAAAACCATTTGAGCCATTGTTGCTTATTTTGAGAGCCATGTCTGTTGATTACTTTGACTCAGTTGATAAGGTCAGATATTATGCTTACCCGAAGTGTCTGATTGTCGAATTCAGACACGATGTAACGAGCAATATCAGATGAAATTACATAGCCAGGTCCATTAGCATAATTCGGGTACACTTCTTCCGGCCATTCCTGCATAGGAAGGAGAGATACATTTTCAATGATAATGCCACTATGGCCTTGTTTAGATTGCAAGTTTTTTCACTCTCTCTCCATCACATCAAATCTTTGGATACATACATGGAGTATTAAATGTAGATAAAAAAATAACTAATTACACAGTTTGATTGTAAATTACGAGACGAATCTTTTGAGCCTAGTTAGACCATGATTGGACAATAATTGTCAAATACAAACGAAAGTGCTACAGTGCCAAATACTGATTCATAACCCCAATCTAAACAAGGCCTACTTTTAACTCTCTAGAATGTCATGAAGAGCTGTTGTCCACTACTTGGATTAGACTAGGATAGAGAAAGGGGTGACAACTATGGACAGTACAACTACAGCTGTCACCGGCTTGTGTACATAGGAGTAACTCGCAAGCATACTCATTGTTTGCCACGAATGATAAATAAATGCAAGATTTTCTTTTACTTTTCAAGAGTTCTAAGCTAGTGATACATATTTATTGTCTAAATGGTCATCATAGAGAAAATAAACAAAGAAAACGTGCAGTTGGTCGATACACTAGATGTTTGTTTGCCAGCAGAAGAAAAAATATGGGCTCGATACTGCATGACAAAAATCCTATCACAATTACACAAGAGACAACAATTTACCTCATAAGTTACTGCCCACTTGCCAGATCTTAGTGGTCGATGGAAGTAGTTTATACTTCCGACATAAACGCTTTTATCATTTCGAACTTTCTTCACTTGATCCAGTACCGAATCAATTCTGACGAATGTATCATCGTCGCATTTCATTACGTACTTTGCAGGGACAACGCGCACCTGCATTAACAAAGATGATTAGCTGTAAATATGAATGAAATTGACCTGTAAGGAAATATGGCAGTGCTGCTTGCATGTACATATTACTTGGTTGCCAAATTGAAATCACTTACCCCATACTCAGCAATGGCAACGGTCTTCAATACAACGAGGTCATAGCTATCAATGAAAGGCACTATAACAATGTCCTGGAAGAACTCTGCCTCCTTCTTGAGCTCTGCGTTAACTTCCTTTTTTCCATTCTGCGAATTTTCTTAATCTGGTCAGCGTTTTGCAGCATGCAAATTAGTAAAAACATTTGATGACCAAAGGTGGTAGTAGTTACCAGAGCCACAAAGAACCGAGCTACAATATTGGATGATTTCCTTGTATACATCATCCATGATTTCCTTACCGCCATACGCTCAGCAAAATGGCTGGCTGCAGAAAGAATGCCAATGAAAAGCTCAACAGGTTCAGTGGGCAGTGGTGGGGCTTTCCACTGTTCAGACATCTCAAGGTATCGCTCCGGAGCGAAACTAGGATGCGAATTGGGTAGAGAACTAGCAAAAATTGATTCAATATCAATGTCTCCATTCAGAGATAATGCAGTTGCATCCTCAAGAGAGTAACCCTGGAGAGAGAAAAACCGACAACAATTAGCAATGCATACCTCAGGACCACACACCAAGACTTATGAGGCTTTAAGCCTTTAACGGTAAACTTACAGTGCGGTAAGGAAATGAAGCAACATGCCGCCCATCAACATTGACATGGTAGCCTTCCAAACCAGCTGTCAAAGTCATAACAAATAGCTTGCCTTCTGTGAATGGGTATGGCCAACTGATGTGGACATCCTTTGGTCTGCCAATCAAACGTTTCACCCACCATTTCATCTTTGATTCCTCTGACTTGTTGTCATCGTCGCGAATCCATTTCTCACACTTGAGTTGCCCGTCAACTGAAACACAAAAGCGACATACCCCATGAATCATAATGCCAATGTTGCAAAGCAAAGTCAGGGCCTGCATTCTTTAAGTAAAAGAAGTCGTGGTTTTAACTTCATTTTCAAGTCGAAGAGTTTGGGTAAAATTGAAAGAACTGAATAGCTGGCTGCTGCAAGGAAAGTTTTCTCAGGTACACTTAACACCAAATCTTGGTCATTGCTATGGTGCTCTGCTCACTACAATGACTCAGGTGGTGTTTAAACTCAGTGGCTAAAGTTTAGGGGTGTCACATCATGGTGTCATATGGGAGTGTTCGGATAGTAATAATAAAACAAATTATAAAAGTCCTCAGTAATCCGCGAGACGAAGTTATTAAGGCCAATTAATCCGTCATTAGCACATGTGCTGCATTGTCAAATCATTGCCTAATTAGGCTTAAAAAATTCGTCTCGCAAATTAGTCGCAATCTGTGCAATTAGTTATTTTTTAGCCTATATTTAATACTCCATGCATGTGTCAAACATCCGATGTGATAGAGAGTAAACTTTATGGAGAGAATCTAAACAAGGCATCATTCAACCATGGTTCACATCAGTCGGTCGCAAGCTTGCTTTAGCAGCATTGAATCATCCCTAACTTAAAAGTAGCTGGAACTCATTGGACACAGGGACTCCTAAAAACACAGCACATGTGACACTAGAAATTGTTTATGTTCGATGAATAAGAGAAGGAACAAATATAGAAATGAAGTTCAGGTTCCCACGTCAGTTGCCTCGTCAAAACTGAACAGCTCTACAACGCGGTTTCAGGTCAATGTGTACTCTGTAAGATTCCACTGATTTGAAAAATAGGACACGTCGCCATCAGGTTCAGGTCCCTCCGCACACATTTCTCCTCAAACAGGAAAAGCAAATCTGGAAATGAATTCTAACCCTTTCTAGAAATTTCCGGCGCGAAGTTTGTACTTTCTATGCTGAATTCCATCAAGCTAAGCTATTCCACGGAATTAACCCCTGAAGTTGACAGTATTCAATTTCCGTAACTACCAAGCCACCCATTCATAGTCGTACCAACCTCGATCTTTGTAGTTTAATTGAGATTCTAAACTGAACCGACCAACATGGCAGCTAGAACATTGGACGTTTGTTTAGATCGAAGAACCAAACTAATCAAAACATCGAATCAAAATGAACCCGGAGAATCTGGAGGTCGCTGGAGAGGTTGACGACAACTCACCGGTGTCCTCGGCGGGGCGGGAGGCGAAGCCCTCGCAGCGCTGCGACTGCCCCCACTGCATCCGGTAGCAGCTGTTCATCTCGATGACAGGATTCCGGCTGTAGTCCCCGCGGATCCTGGGGTTGAAGTGCAGGATCCTGGGCGGCGCCTCCCCGTCGACGGCCATGGTGCCCACCAGCTCGACCATGAACTGCGACACCATGACGGCGGCCTCCCCGTCCTTGCGCTCGGCGATCTTGGGGTCGTACTCGGGGCGGGCGGGGCGGGGCCGGGCCACCACGGTGACGTGGGAGCCCACCGCGAGCCCGCAGGGGAGCTCCACTACGCGGACGCCGTCGTAGGGGAGCTGCTCCCGGTGCACGGAGATGGACGCGGGGCAGGTCGGCGGCGACGACGACGACGCGGGCGCGGACGCGGAGGTGGAGGCGGGGTTGGGCGTGGCCTGGAGGTGAGCGAGGTGCGGCTTGGCCGCGGCGAAGGCGTCGGCGGCGGTGGTGTCGAAGGGGGTGGCCGTGGCGTTGGGCCGCAGGAGGAGGAGGAGGGACGAGAAGATCGGGAGCCGCGGCGCCGCGGAGCCCGGGCCCGGTGCGGCGGCGGCGGGGAAGGCTGGTTTGGAGGGGCGGGCGGGGGAGAACGGGGACGTGAACGCCGCCGCCGCGGCCTCCAGCTCCCGCCGGCGCGGGTGCTGGAAGGGGAGAGAGGAGGAGGTGGCGGCGGCGGGGGAGGACGACGCCAGGAAGGGCAGTAAGGGGAGCTCGAAGAGGAGCACGAAGGAGAAGTACCCGGCCGCGGCGACGAGGAGGCCCGCGCGGACCAGGCGCTTCTTCCGCGGAGCCGGCGCCGGCGGCATCGCGGGCGGCGGAAGGTTCTGGAAGGCGGTGTACTGCTAGCTGAGAGAGGAGGGTCGGTCGGGCCGCGGTGAGCTGAGCTCAGCTGAGTTGAGCTGTGACCGTTGCGGGGGGTCGCCGCGGCGGCGGCGGCGCAGGGCCCTGGTGAGGAGGGAGGAACAGCGAACACAACGGATGGGAGGAAGTATATGTAACGGTTTTGTTGGGTTGGTTAGAAACTTCGGTAGTTTTTACTTTTAACCAATTACCAATGTGAAAATTGAAGGCATCAAGGGGCGAGAGACGGAGAGATTTAAAAAAATTAACTGCGTAAGTACTGGCAAACAGTGATATGGAGTAGTTTCTTTTTTATAAGCCTGTTCGCCAGTTGATTTCTGGGCTAATTTAGGCTGACGGGTGCTGGTTTATTGTGAGAGAAAAACAATGTTGGCTGACTAGTTTAAATTGACTGAAACCAACAAGCGAACAGACTGATAGTGAGATTAGGCAGCTGGCTTCGGATCAAACCTAATATTGGGTTGTAGATTAGCATGAAGAAATATACATTGGGCTATATTTTTGTAATGCTTTACTCTCACGTTATGGAGTTACTTGTTATGCTAAGCGTATGTATTGATTTTTCTAGATAGCTATAGCTATATATAAATGCGAGATTTATGGACATGTGAGAAAGATAATTTTTTTTTCTTAACTCATTTCCTCCACTTTCGTAAGGAAATGAAACACGATGTTGAAAATTAATATGCAAAATTAATTGGTTGCGCTCATGAGAAACCTTCATTGATCTGAAAATGCATTTGGAAAGTTCTGTGTGTTTTAGTTGCCTCTATCTTACAAGTTCTCTGTTTTGAGACGAAGAAAAGGTGAAAGAGTTAAGACAACAGCTTGAACATGTTACCATGAAGAGTCTGCAACTCCAATAGTGTGGATCTGTGCTGTCCTGATGAACTTAATTTTAATCCGATACTGAGATACTTCCTCCATTTCAAATTATAAGTTGTTTTTATCTTCTTATTTTTTAGTACATCCACTTTGCTACGTATCTAGATATAACAATATGTATAGATACGTATCACAATTGATGTACCGAAAAAGTCAAAACGACTTATAATTTAGAACGGAGGGAGTACTTAACTAAAATCTATATTGTATAGTTCAAAAAGATATTAAGTATGTTTTGTATTACATATACTATTACCGAACGAAACCAGCGCAATTTCTTTTTTTGAAGCTGATGATCAACTTTTACTAGTTGATTGAATTGAGTTTGGACGTACAGTCCAAACGTGATTTCGAGGGGCATCTTGGGAATTTTTGCATCTTATATATATACACACACATATAACGGGCGAAAAACTTGGCGGGGGCGGGCGGAACGCGACTTCCACGTGCTGCCGTGGCTGCGACTGCGAGCTGCGCGTGCGCGTGCCTTTGTTGGACTGGACCTGGACGGACAACTCTCCAAACTCGTGGAGACGAACCGAATGCTGCGGACGCGAAGACGGTCACACGCCACGCCACGCGCGCGAGAGAAGAGAACCGTGGCGAGTCAACGTGCTACGGGCACACGGCTGTGTACGTGAGAGTTCGTGGACGCTAATTTATCTCCTATAGTAGTCGTAGCATACTAGTATACCACCATGTTACGCTTCGTACACCCAGGCGACCTTCTAGAGTAGAGTGGTCGCCAATTTAGGCTCGGCACGTTTCTTAGCGTATCGATCGCGTATTTAGTTCTGGAAATTTAAACTTTTCATAATAATCGATAATAATTAGGAGTAGTCGATATATATGTATGTATTATGTATAGTAAAGTCTGCATCGATATATTTATGTTAAAAAGAGGAAAGTTTTTAAGATGACGCTGATTTTCGTACATACAATACAGGAGAAAATAAGTGCCCAACCATGTGGTTTTCAAGAGCTTTTGCATGATAACTATAATAAACAAATAAGCCAGCTGGTTGGAGTATGTACTAGGAATATTTATACACTTGTTTTCGTGTAAGCTGGTACAGCCTAGCTAGCAGCCTTCTAAAATAAGTGGCCACTAATTTACATTCTACCCGTTTATTAGTGTGTCACCTATTTTTGTCGAGGAAGGTACAGACCTAGCTAATTTACCGTGCAACGTCAAAACACGTGTCCCCCCTCCCCCCCAAACCCACCCACGTCAAAACACTACTGTCTTTCCAGAAACTTTGCATCTCTCTCCTTCAACAAGATTCGTCATTTCTGCAGGTCAGAGAACATTCTGTGGAAGATTTCATTAGAGGATCGATCTTGGAACCTTCTTCTCTATCCCCATTTTATTCCTAACGTTCCACAAACTTCACAGCACTATGGGCAAACAGAAGAACTTTATGGTAATCTTTGTAGTCGAGTTGAAACCAATAATCAAAGGCCTCCTATATATAAGATTTCTTTGGAACCCTATCCCACCCTAAAGCCTCCTTAAAACAAGTCGTAATGGTTTTTGCCATGTTCAATTGAAGAGAATAATGTAATCTGTTGTTTCACTCACCCCACATATTTTTCTTTCCAACTCCCCTTGTTCAGATTGACCCCAGTCTGTAATCCATCTTGAATAACTAACCACAAAAAGACTTTTAACTTCACTACTAGTATTATATTTTTCCAGAGTTTTGTCATCCTTCCACTGGCCACCCCCGTAAAAGGTTAATTAGACATGCTGTATATTACAGAAGAAAATTTGTATTAAAAAAAAAGCCACGTCCACGTGAGAAGAAACACACGGCATCAGACGACTTATCGGTGGCCAATCTATGCAGCAATCCACTGCCGTAAAGAAAACATTTGTCCATTCCAGATTAGTACACACTCGCCAACCGCCATACCCTGGCAGGCACCGGAACCACCAGTGCCCGCGCGCGTAAAGAAACACGCAGGGCGGCAGGCCCATTGGCCAGCCCATTTGCCCATCATATATAATCTTTTTTTCTGATTAGCCGACGGGCGCCGCAATCACAGGGTGGCATGCATCAATCGTCCCATCACCACCAGCACATCTGCGTCTGCCCGCTCGCCGAAAAAACACCAGGCCCATGGTGGCATCGGACTCAAACATCATCATCGGCGGTTAGGATAACAAACATATGGCATCGAATACTTTGTCAAGGCGACCATGATTAGATATGTATCAGCATGGTTGCCACTTGCGAGCTGTGCAGGGCCTTAGCCAGCAGAAGATCCTCTGATTAGCTATGCCTATGTGCATTATTAGCCATGTTCGCTTCTCTTATAATCCGTCTTTTTCAGCTTATTTTTTCAGCCGAAACAGTATTTTTCTCTCACAACAAATCAGTCGGAACAGTGTTTCGGTTTGTTTTTTCAGCGAAGCGAACAGGGCTATTATTATTAAGTTAATTCATTAATTAATTAAACCAAAGCACCGGAGATGATGATTTGATTTTGTGTTGCCGTGGACCCGGATCGGAATCGGATGGTGCGGTGCGCCGGCTGTCTGTCCGTACGTGCTCCGGAGCTGGCGCCACTTGGGCCACGTTTAGTTCCTACCGATTCCAAATTTTGGCACTATGCAAAAAGAAGATTCTCCGTCACATCAAACTTGCGGTATATGTATGGAGTACTAAATGTTGATGAAATAAAAAACTAATTGCACAGTTTGATTGTACTTTGCGAGACAAACATTTTGAGCCTAATTAGTCAACAATTAGACAATTATTACCAAATAAAAACAAAACGACACTGTACCTACAGTGTCGCTACAGTGATTCGGCCGGCGCCAATTCGGCCGAACTAAACGCGGCCTTGGAGAGGAATCGCTGTCGCCAGATCATGGCCGCCTGTAATCCTTCTTATTCCCCTCTCTTGCCCGCCGGTGCTGATCTCTTTTTTCTAACAAGATAGGCAGATAGCCTGAGGTGATCTGGGGTTGGGATGGCCTCCTTATCATAGATAATATACAGTGCAACCGTCGTTAACTTTTGGCACACGCGCAATGTAGTGCTGGAGAAGAGCATATGGAGTCGCATATATTATTCACAATTGGTGGTAGGACTGCCGTCTCCGCGGATGCAATAGCAAATGCCACTTGTTTTGGACCATTGGGTTGATTGAGTGTTCATTACGAATGAGCTCAAATTGACATGTCGTGAAATTAGTTTAGCAAGACAACTAGATGGCTGGAAAACACCATCGATTGATACGTACTTGTTTGCTTGACTTTCTCACTTCACCGACAAATATATTTTGGACTGATTCTCTGCGATCCTATGGCTGGGTATTCTAGTGGACACACACCATAAGGTGATTACACGGGAATAGGGAAAGCATCTGGTGACCCAGCTTTGGCCGGGTCAAGTTTTACAACGGTACTGTATCAATCAAGGACAAAGCAGAGACATTTGGAGGCGCACGCATCTATCTATCTATTGAAACGGAAACTGAGTTATTGCACGGTCACTCAAAGACGTTGGACGAAAGACGGAGAGAGCATCACACACACCATACATGCCAACGAGGCGAATGATTGGTTTTTTTCTCAAATCATTCTGGAATTTGCTGCAGCTGAAACAGGGCCCCACCAGTAGGCGCAGCCCATAAGCAGCGATTTTCTGTATAATTAATGCAAACTTGTGCCCTTTGCAATGCTGATGGGAGCAACAGCAGGATATTATATAGCAGTAGCAATGCACTGCTAATGTACAACCATGTTTCCACACAATCAGACACTGCTGTCTCCCCAAGGTTTTTGTTTACATGACAGGAGCAAATCAATCCTTATCTGCCTAGACGTTTAATTTGCTCTGGCAAATCTGGAGCTAAAAGGCATGAGTTTGGAAACTCATGCCTTTTAGCAGTAATTTACATCTTGGCTTTGGCACCCGAGTAAACACGCGATAAGCAGTAACACCTAGCAGTCACACATCAAGACGGACGGCTGTGCCATTACGCCACCGCGCCGCAGATCAGGTGTTACAGCAGGATGACCACCTCGACGAGGCTGCGCCAGCCTGGTCGGGATCTGGCCTGCTGATCTGAATAGTTGGGGGCTGCATAGTTTGGTGAAAGATTAGAGGTGACGGTTTACGTGGCGATTGATGAAATGGGGATAACAACTGCACGAGTACACAAGCTACCTCAGTCGCAGCAGCAACGGTCTCAGTGAGTCTTTGCTTTATGTCCCTTGCCATGGTGAAGAAAACCTGCTCCACGTTTTGATTTGTTTTTGCACTCTGCATACAAATATACAATGGAGCTGAAATGTGAAACTAACCATCTTAGCAACCTGATAATTTCATGAAGAAGCGACTATGACTCAGGAGGTATATCATATATCACTCAGCTTATATGAACAAAATATTACCGTCTCAAAAAACTTGATCCCATATTCATCTGCAAGCTTCTGACCTTGAGCTGTGGACACTACCTGTTAACAGGGGAGTTATTAGGGCATGGAGAAGAAAACCAGTCATGGGAGCCTAGCAGTAGGTAATTTTATGAAAACATGTACCCGCTTTGCATCCATATCAACCTTGTTGCCCACCAAGATCTTGTTGACATTATCAGATGCGTGCTGCTCTATGTTGCGAATCCAATTTCTAATGTCTACAAGTTAATTAAGAAAAATAAATAAATAAAGTGACTAGCATTTTCATCTTCTGTCAACAAATGGGAATGCACGTGCATGTTGCATACTATTGAAGGATGATTCATCTGTGACATCATATACAAGCAGAATGCCCATAGCTCCTCTGTAGTAAGCTGCAAAACAGGGGAGAAGAAAAGAACAATAAATCAAGGAGCAGATATTTTGCTTAGAAATCAACAAAATGAATTGCTACTTTACATTCACTAGACTATGGAAAATATATGTGATCCAGTGGCCAATAAAATATTGCTGCTTTACCATCCCATACATGAAATATGTCACCATTGAAAGATTTACAGATGACCAGCGTATAACAGTTATAGTTTTAGAACTCTTCATGTGAAACTAGTCAAGAACAGACGTGGTAGTGGCATGCACTTGTCTGTGTAGGCTTCATGGTCAAGGTGGGCTTTAGCTCTTTCGGTTCCAATAATAATAAACAAGATTTACTAATAAGGCATAGCTCACCCAGCCCAGGGCCAGGGCCATTACAAATCAAATCAAACTATTTTCTATTCCTTCCTCCTAAAAAGTACCAGACATGTATAATTTCAAGGCACAAATAAATCTATCAGTTTCTAAGTGTTAAAATTCTTGGTCTAGATTGGGCCTTCTTAAGATCAGGTATAGGGTGCTTCTGAAATTATGCCTACATCTCATCAGTAGTAGCCCCACAAGAGCATCATGGTTAAAAAAAGGAGAAAATAATTACCAGTGGTAATTGTTCGGAAACGTTCTTGACCAGCAGTATCCCAAATTTGTAATTTTACACGCTTTCCATCAAGCTCAACTGTCCTAACCTTGAAATCAATGCTTTACAGAAGAGGGAAAAAGTAAAATTTAGAATATTAACTCACATAAATGAATGAAAAAAGAGGGATAATATTGCCTGGGTCCATACCCAATGGTGGTGATAAAACTAGTTGTGAATGTGTCATCAGAGAACCGCAGCAGCAAGCAACTCTTTCCAACTCCTGGAAATAGAAATGGGGCTCTCATTAGACTGTGTGCATTATGTTATGTGAGGGAGAGTTGTTGCAACACATAAAAGTTGATCAAAACGTATTGGTCAAGGAGAGAAACTACAGACTACAACACACCGACAAGGATGTGGATCATCAGTGAGTACAATCAACAGCAAGGGAATGGAATTCGAAGGGTTCCGACTGTCCAACCAAAACTTTAAGAGGAAGATCACACCTACTTTAATTAAGAAAAAAATATGCAGAATTCTGAGCATGTATATGTATATTGTTGGTAAAGGTGGGGGTTGACATGTCAAGTTTTCAATCAAATGTTATAGATAGGTGTTCATGGTAATCCCTTTGCACAAATCACCATGGTCATCCATGAATTACTCAGTGGAGGAATTTCAATCCCCCCCACCCCACCCCCACCTCCACCACACACACATGAATTATACCATTGGTTTTTAAAGTATGATTTGTTTGTTAAGCAAAATAAGACATCTGAAGCTAACGATGCAGCTGCACAATGAAACCCATGCAGCTAACAGCTGCCAACATGTTGACAGCACAATCATGTAGCATGCATATGAACATAAGTGGACAGCGAAAAGAAGATGGAGATGCCGATTTAAACATACGAAGGTAAAACAACAGAGGAACACGTTTAACTGCCTGATAAAAAGTAGAAAAGACAACATACGGTGACTGAAGAACGATTGTATCCCAACTAAACAGATGGTATCCGCAGGCAAGATGTGACCATTTGTTGTGCTCCCAATTGTCTCAATAAGAAAGAATCATCATTTTCCTGTTTTTTCTTATTTATCTTTTCACATATACCTAGTTAGTTTTGAATTATTGACCCAGAGAATAATAATCGATAAATGTCCTATCAAGTGTCATAGAAGTTACTAAACCAAATACTAAGCATACTGACACAATCAACTTCAGGATTTGGCATGAACCTGTGGAAGTGTTCAAGGGATCTATCACATGGTTGGGATTCAGAAGTATTAAATTCTAATGTGGCCAGCAGTGTAGATGTAAAATTATAGTGGTACAGGTAGGAGTTATTAGGAGCTAGGAGTAGGTGGTAAAACTAAACAGCAAACCTAACTCAACAGTTCAACACAACCTTAGCGATCCTACCAGAAACACAGTCAACTGCAAGTCCAGTAGAGCCTCTTTATGGAACTGGATTGGAACCCCCATAATAACTAAGCAACATTTCACATCTCGCCACTTTTACGCCACCCGAATTTCTAACCTACCTAACTCAGCAATTGACGTAGAGAATAACTCCGTTCTGCCATTCTGGGGAATGCTCAGCAAACTAAAACTTCAAGCAAGGTGTAAACTAAGCAACAAGATGTGACAATTTGTTCTGCTCCCAATTGTCTCAATAAGAAAGACTCATCATTGTCCTGTTTTTTTTTTCTTATTTATGTTTTCTACCTAGTTTTGAATTGTTGATGTAGAGTATAACAATGGATAAATGTCCATATCAAGTGTGATAGAAGTTACTAAACCAAATACTAAGCATGCTGACACAATCAACTTCAGGATTTGGCATATGAACCTGTGGAAGTGTTCAAGGGCTCTATTGCATGGTTGAGATGCAATCAAATGTATTAAATTCTAATGAGGCAAGCAGCGTAGATGTAAAATTATAGTGGTACAGGTAGGAGTGATTAGGAGCTAGGAGCTAGGAGTAGGTGGTAAAACTAAACAGCAAACCTAACTCAACAATTCAACCCAACCTTAGCGATCCTACCAAAAACACAGTCAACTGCAAGTCCAGTAGAACCTCTTTATGGAATTCAATTGGAATCCCCATGATAACTAAGCAATATTTGACACCTCTCCACTTTCACGCCACCCGAATTTCTAGCCTACCTAACTCAGCAATTGACCTAGAGAATAGCTCCGTTCTGGGGAATGCTCCGCAAACTACAAATTCAAGCAAGGTGTAAACTTCGTCCGGCTAGAAAATCTCGGATGATCACACAAGAAGCGTGTACAAAAGAGCATCTGTAGGGGAATTTCGCCTGTGTGGCCTCCTGAAAAAGAACAGGTGAAGGAACGCACAACTGCAAGAGTATAGTACAAATTCAGCTCCGATGCATAAATAAAAGGCCATCCATGTCTAGGACGGCGCCTCCCACCCGACCAGAGGACTGGTGTGTCAAGTCAAGCATAGCAAGCAGCAACTACTACTCTACATCAATAAGGACGCAATAACAGCCACGCATCGCTCGTGAAAAGCTTCAACCATGGGTTGTAGTACATGTACATCTAGCACTAGCAGTCCACAAGCAACAAAGGCAGTAGAAACAAGACCCTGTTCCTTCAGCCCTGGGCAACAAACAGCCCCGTTCCGTTCCGTACAGCCGACCGACTCCTCCGGGAGATGCAGAAAGTACCAGTAAAAGGAGGGATTCAGCAGGCAAGCACGCGCGCGAGCAGCAGCCGCCTACATCGCCAGCCAATCGAGCTAATTAATCAAGCGAGCGACACATGCGGAGCCGAGCCCCGCGCGCAGGAGGAGCGGTAAGAGCCGGAGCCGCGCGGAGGATCGGGGGGCAGCGTGTTCTTCGGGGGATTAGTTAAGGGGAGGGGGAGGGGGGAAGTACGCACCGCTGTCGCCGATGAGCAGGAGCTTAATCAGGTGGTCGTAGTCGCCCCGGGACCTCGACGGCGGCGCCGCCATGCTCCTCCTCCTCCGCCTCGCGCTCGCTGGCGGCGGTCTCCGGGCTCCCTCTCTCTCTCTACGACCGAGGAAGAGGATGTGGAAGCGAGGGGACGGAGGCGAGGCGAAGCAGGCAGCAACAGCCAACAGCGAGAAAGGATTCAGTCAGGAGGTGGGGGAGGCGGCGTCCAGCTGTACGCGACGAGCGAGAGAGGGGAAACGGAACAAGACAACGAGGGAGGACGGGAAGGAGAGCTGGAGGTGGACTGTACAGTATCTGTATGTACCAGGACGGTAGAGTATTTTTGTACTCTTGCCGCCGCGCCGCGCGGGCGTCGCGGTCCCCATCGCATCGGCCAGTGGTGCGCTGCTGCGTTGGATTGGTCGGGTCTGGTTGGTTGGACCTGGCGGCGGCGGCGGCGTACAGCGGAACGGAACGGGCGTTGCCAATTGGTAGTTGCCTTGCCTGCCGTTTCGAACTGCCAAATTGGGGCTCGGAGCGATGGTTGCAAGCCAAAAACTGAGGGGGCTCAGTAGCTGTGATTTGGCTCCTCGTATCATTGAACCGGTTAGTTGGTTGTTTTTTTTTTATAAGCTCGACTGGTGCTGGTTTGTTGTGAGAGGAAAGCACCGTTGGCTGATTGATAAGTCCTAGCTAAAATCAACAAGCGAACAGGCTGACTGATTCACTGCCAACGGAACGGGATCCTTTGGGACCCAAAAGGATCAAAGTTCAGTTCTCATTCCGTTGTCACGTGGCCTGTTTGATCCCGAGCTAATAGTTAGCTGCTAATAATTAATTCTTTTAGTTCTAATCAGGTTTAGCTGATTGTTAGCTAACACTTCATAACTAGTATTAGCTGTTATTAGCTAGTTTGATCCAATTATCGAAATCAATCCAGGGAAAGATATTCAGCTAACAATTAGCTAAACTATTAACTAGACCTGTTTGAATGCAATGAGCTAATTATTAGCAGCTAACTACTATCTCTATGGATCTAAACAGGACCTTAATTAATAACTACCTTACTAGTTGACAAAACCGGCTAGCAGTTACCTGATGAGTAATATTAATTATGACTTATTAGTTAGCTAACTATTAGCATGCATGGATCTGTCTAAAACCACCCTATGTATGCTTCATTTTGCACCCCGTGAATCAAACTGAAACAGACAGAACTTAATCCGAGTAAAATTAATCCATAATAACTCGATAAATACACATACACCAGCAGTCTGCGACCGGGAAACGAGCAGCAGACTGCAATGAGTCAGCACCGAGCCATGGAAACAACAGCTCAAAAGTACAGCCTCTGTCAAAAAGAATATAATTATAAGTTCGTGCCACATGAAATAATTCGTGTTTGACAAGTTCTTAGCAAATGATATTCACGTTTATGATTCTAAATTAATTTATTATAAAAATACATTTCGTAATTAATCTAATAATATTTATTTGACATCATAACTATTGATATTTTTTATGTTAAATTTAAGGTGATAGAACTTAACACCATGGTTGCGTTCGGCTGGTTGGTTTTTCAGCCGGATTTCACTGTTCTCGGCTGAAAAACGTTGTTCACACTCTCACAAATTCCTTTAGTGTCGGTATTTTGGACCGGGGGGGTCCTCAACCAACTAGTGAAAGTGTACTGCGTGTTTCTAATCTCGGATGGTGATGCAAAGAGACACAAGGTTTATACTGGTTCGGGCAATAGGTGCCCTACGTCCAGTCTGAGAGAACGATCTTGTATTCCTTGCACCGAGGTGCTTGTAGTAGGGGCTTACAAGCTGAGCGAGAGAGGGAGCTAGTCCCAGGTCTCCGCGTGGAGTGGCGTGGGTTGCTTGAGATGTTGATCTCTTGCAGTGAGGGAGCGTGTGTGTTACAGAGCGTTGCGCGTTGCTTGCCTGGGTGTCTCCCCTAGAAGCGGCCCTGGTTACTCCCTTTTATAGTCGAAGGGAGGCACAGGGGCGGTACATGCATTTGTTACGTGGCGTTTTGTGAGCGGAGGCAGCGCGTCCGAGCCCTGCAGCTTGTCACTGTGGCGGTGTGGTCGGTGGAGCGGTCTTGTCCTTCGTGCACTGGAGCGACGCGCCGGCCACGCCTGATCCTGTGCGTCGTGGGAGCTCCTGTGGCGGCAGGCGCGCCTTCTTCTGTTGGAGGCGTGCTGGTTACTGTATGTTTGACCGGCGCGGAGTGGCGAGGCCAGGTTGATGCGATGGCGTGGGTACGCTGATTCCGAGGCTATAGGAGCTAGGCCTTGTGCGCGACGTGGGAGCTCCTACAGCCTGACGCAGGGTATGGCGCGTTCTACGGGCGACGTGCCGGTCCCAGAGTGCTGACAACGTGGAGAGCCGAGGCCCAGTCGATGCAGAGGCTGGACCGTCATGGGGGGCTCGACGGGCGCGAGTCCCGAGGCTACAGGAGCCCAGAAGCGGATAGCCGAGGCTCGGAGGGAGCAGTTGGTCTTGTTCGTCGATTCCAAGGCTACAGGGACCTGGACTTGACTCTCCACGCCGCGCTGTCCTTGGAGCAGGGGTTAGGCAGCACAGTGCAACACGGGTGTCAGCCATGGGCATAGTGCCGAGCACAGCGGCTGGTAACCCCTGCCCTGTCCTATCCCGGGCTGCATGGTGTCGATGTGACTCCCGTCCCGTCGGCCACTCCGCTGTACTGCGCCGACGTGCGGCTGACGTTGCGGGAGTGGTTGGACGTGTTGGTTGGATGTGACGTCCTGTCAGGGAAATCGGTCAAGGCGGCGGTGATGGGGTTGATGCCGAGCCGGCCTCGAGCGAGTCGGTAACTGAGTGCTCGTCCGAGGCCTCGTGGCGCGGGGCCTCGGGCGAATCGGAGAATCGGTACCTCGCCCGAAGCCTTGCGGTGTGGGGCCTCGGGCGAGTCGGAGAATCGGAACCTCGTCCGAGGCCTTGTGGTTTGGTTCTGGGCCAAGCCTGCTTCGGGCGAGCCCGGATATTTGTTCGAGGTGGGCCGGGCGGTCCAGCCGGGCCTCGGATGTGGCGGGTTTGCCAGCGGTTGTTTTTTGGTTTCGCTATTTATAAGGTCTAAAGCAATTTTTTTGGTTCTTGCTCAGGGTACCCCTTTTTATGGTATCCGACAGTAGCCCCTGAGCCTCGGGGGGGAGTGCGAGCACTCTCCCTGAGGTTTCGATGAGACTTGGTTCGCAGCAGTTCCCGTCGGGATGGTGTTTCATACTCGAGGTTTCGGTGGGTGCGCGCGAGCGCACCCGCCGGGTGTAGCCCCTGAGGCCCTGGAGGAGTGGATTCACTCCTCCAGGGGCTTTTCTCATGTTGAGTGAGGAGTTTTATTACGTTTGCCGAGTCCCCGGGTGCGAGTTCGGATCGCTGGGCCTCGGTTTGGTTGCAGGAAGAGCCCCCGAGCCTCTGCTCAAAGCAAGAGAGCGGTCAGGAGTTTCCCTGTCTTTTTTGTGCAGCCCTCGTGCATCCTTTTCGTTCGGAAGGAGGGGTGGAGTGTGCCAGGCTACCCTCGGTGGGCGCGAGCAGTGACACCTCCGGTGAGCTGTTATCGGGTAAGTCCGAGTGGAGGCCCGTGCCCCATTTGATAGGGTTCGGCTAGCGGTCTAGAGACGCACTCCAAAAGTACCAGAGGGCTTCTCTAGTGGGTCCCATGGCCGTTCGATTGGTCCCGGGGCTCGATGCCTCCCTACGGTGGGATTCCATTCAGAGACTTTCCTGTCAATCTCGGACGACTTAGGGCATCCCAAGCAATTGCTTGCTTGGGCCTCGGCCATGTACGGGCTCGCCCATAGTCATCCCTTACTCTATTTGCCCTAGGGCGGCTGTTGAGACCCTCGGGGGCCCAGCCTTCGAACCCCTAGACCGTAACGGGCTCGGTGCCCAGTTCCTTAGTTGTTTTATCGCGTTTGCTGAGTCCCCGAGTGCAAGTTTGGGTCGCTGGGCCCCGGCTTGGTTGTAGGAAGAGCCCCCGAGCCTCTGCTCGGAGCAAGAGGGTGATCAGGAGTTTCCCTGTCTTTTTTGTGCGGCCCTCGCGCATCCTTTTCGTTCGGAAGGAGGGGTGGAGTGTGCCAGGCTACCCTCGGTGGGCGCGAGCTGTGACACCTCCGGTGAGCTGTTATCGGGTAAGTCCGAGTGGAGGCACGTGCCCCATTTGATAGGGGTCGGCTAGCGGTCCAGAGACGCACTCCAAAAGTACCAGAGGGCTTCTCTAGTGGGTCCCAGGGCCGTTCGATTGGCCCCGGGGGCTCGATGCCTCCCTACGGTGGGATTCCATTCAGAGACTTCCCTGTCGGTCTCGGACACGACTTAGGGCATCCCAAGCAATTGCTTGCTTGGGCCTCGGCCATGTACGGGCTCGCCCATAGTCATCCCTGACTCTGTTTGTCCTGGGGCAGCTGTCGAGACCCTCGGGGGCCCAGCCTTCGAACCCCTGGACCGTAACGGGCTCGGTGCCCAGTTCCTTAGTGATTTTATCACGTTTGCCGAGCCCCCGAGTGCGAGTTCGGGTCGCTGGGCCTCGGCTTGGTTATAGGAAGAGCCCCCGAGCCTCTGCTCGAAGCAAGGGGGTGATCAAGAGTTTCCCTGTCTTTTTTGTGCGGCCCTCACACATCCTTTTCATTTAGAAGGAGGGATGGAGTGTGCCAGGCTACCCTCGGTGGGCGCGAGCAGTGACACCTCCGATGAGCTGTTATCGGGTAAGTTCGAGTGGAGGCCCATGCCCCATTCGATAGGGGTCGGCTAGCGGTCCAGAGACGCACTCCAAAAGTACCAGAGGGCTTCTCTAGTGGATCCCAGGGCCGTTCGATTGGCCCCGGGGGCTCGATGCCTCCCTACGGTGGGATTCCATTCAGAGACTTTCCTACCGATCTCGGACGACTTAGGGCATCCCAAGCAATTGCTTGCTTGGGCCTCGGCCATGTACGGGCTCGCCCATAGTCATCCCTGACTCTGTTTGCCCTAGGGCGGCTGTCGAGACCCTCGGGGGCCTAGCCTTCAAACCCCTGGACCGTAACGGGCTCAGTGCC